GGGTGAAAGTAGTTTGTTATGTGCGAAAATAGGTAGCTATGGAGTCAGCTTTCTGCTGAAAGTATTTTGTTCAAATACAACTAAATAACTTTTTATTTGTCCAAAAAATGTTCCATTAAATACGAATATTTCCAAATTCTATTTAAAAAAGATTAAGATTGAAAGTTATTCGAGACGAAGGATTGTTTTGTAACGTTTAAAAAGAACGGACGGAAAATGTCTTAAACAAAAAGTTATAAATTGTTCTCGAGCGAAAAACAGCTGCTTTAGATACCAATAAAGCGTTTCCTTTGACAGCGTCGACTTTTCCAACTTTTTCGAACGCAATTTGTTTCAGTTTAAAAAGGGTTACTGAAAATAAAATTCAATTTTTAAGTGTGAGGCAACAGCAAGCGGAAGTAAAGTTAGATTTTTTTCTCAATTCTTACAGGCTATAGTTTATATACAGGGTGTTTCAAAACAAATGCGAAAAACTTCAGGGGGTGATTCCTTGTTCAAAATAAAGGGTAGTTTGCTTCATAAACGTTGGGTCAAAAGTCAACCATTAGGGAGATATCGCGGTACAAAGATGGAAAAATAATGTTTTTATTTTTTATCTTGAAAACGAAAAGAGATAGACTAATTAAATTTTATGGAAGCATTACTGTTATGAAAACACACTTTCTGGTAATTTTTTCACTTTTTTAAAATGAGTGGAAGGGGTTGAAATAAACTACCCCTATCATTCTTGTTAACGAAATTTAAAGAAAAATCTTATCAAACACATGCAAAAAAATTAATTTGGATAGTTTAGTTTGTTTAGAAACTTTTTTATCTCTTGTATTTTTTTGATAAAACTCACCGATTTGAAATTAAAAAATAAAATGTAAAGCATTACATGTCAGGACAAAAAACATTTTCTGATAAAGAATCTAGTGGGCTGCTGTAATTTTTTTAGGAAAAAATCTAGTCGGCCGCTGTTACTTTTTAGGATGTTCCTAATATTATTTTATTTGACATTACTCTACTGCAATACGTTATTATCTAGATGATTATTGTTATCGTTATTATCACTAGATTCTTAATCTAAAAATGTTTTTTGTCCTGACATGTAATTGTAGCTCTGGTTAAGAAACATTGGGATTTATTCTAGCAATTTAGCACACAAGGCGGTCTTGTTGTTCAGTTGTGACTCTTTGACGACTTTGTCTGGGCCTATTCTGGGGGTTCCTAATTCCAAGTTTCTTCCATATGTTTTCGATACAACATCCTGGGTAACGCCTACTATCTCTGCTACGTCTTTCTGGAGCATTCCTTGTTCGGTGAGAGAAATAATTCTTCCCCTCTGTAACATCAGTTAATCCAACATAAGACATTTTTTATTTTTTTGGATTGAATGAAAATTACCGGATAATCGTAATTTTACTACTGAACACAAAATTTAAAAGAAAATAAATAGCAGCAGTCGTTTATTCTTCATTATCATGTTTATTTACAACAAAAAGCCTTATCTTAAAGTTGTATACCAATTTTTATCCTTGCAAGAAATTTAGTCAGAAATAAAGAGGGATTCCATATAAGTTTGGTTGTGTGTAGGTATATCAAAATTTTATGGTGTGCTCTGTAATATACTATTTCTTTATTAGAGTGGAATCAAACACTATGTAAATTAGCCTAAAGTCATGAATTTCCCGTTTTATGCGCTTGCCATCTCTTGATTGATCGTCAATTTTCCATAAGCTCTGACCGCAAAATTTGCCTCTCTTAATGGAGGCCCTAATGGAGCGGTTTTCCATCTGGGGGCGTCCACGCACACGGACTTGACTCGTGTCTGTTTCATTTATTATCCGATTCCATTCTCCACCGATACCAAAACAGAATTTCCGCTATTTTCGGTAGTTTGTAAAGAATTAAATATGTCATCTTTGTGGATAACCATAATTTGTTAATTTTCCTATTTCAAAAACCTAGTAGAAAAATAAACATAAAAAGTTATTATAAGTTTTATTTTTTTCAAACGTCACAAAAGTATTCATTTTCATTTTCACACCTAGTCATTTTAACGCCTAGGCACAAAAGTAAAGCACTTTTACGCCTGAGCACAAAAGTACAAAACTTTACTATTAAATTGATATTAAGAAATTCAACAAGAGTGTACACCTATTGTTGCTCGATATACAGGGTGGTCCGAACTGTATTTGAGCATATTCTGTAGATAAAAATAAGTAAAAAGGTTTGTATAAATATATGTCCTAAAATGCTTAGTTTCGAAGATACGAGGTGTAGAATTTTCATTTTTATTTCGATTTTTTTCCAAACCCTTCCTGGTCAATGTACCCTTCACGGTACATTGTGAGACAGGAAATTGTAGAGAGAAACAAGCCCTATAACATAGGATACAACATTTTAATGAACAGTGCTTTCCATAAAATCAATAAAACGAAGAATATACGAAATAATATACATGTTCTGATTTCTTTCGAAAATCGACATCTGTGTAAAATTATCTAAATTAGTCAATATTCATCAAAATATTGTCTACTGATCAAAATAAAAAAAAATTCTACGCCCTGTATCCCCGAAACTAATCATTTTAGGACATACATTTATAGGAACTTTTTTACTTATTTTTATCTGCAGAATATACTGCCGAAGTTTCCGGAATATAGTTTGGACCACCCTGTATATATCAATTTCATAAACATTATTGTAAAAAAGATTGCAAATGTAAAAAAGAAAACGTTTACATTATAAAACCCAATATGCTCTGTATTCCACTCTTTCCGACAAACACATAACACGCGAAATTGAAAACCCTTCACACTACCGCTTTTTTTTCTTTTTTTAAACATTCTCCCCCACTGTAATTAACTTTCTACTTCCGGTCGGTCGACGCACTTCACAGAGCTCTGGCGTGTACGTACGTGTTTGTGCCGCGGCTGCCAGTTCGTTTCCCGCTAGTTTTTCCGCGTTTTTTCGCGAAAAAATCAATTTCCACCACTGCCTGCCTGATGGAAAGGGTTTTGTTCCGCCTTGAAGCGGCGCCGCCTGTCGGAAATTCGCTGAAAACTCGACTGAAGTGACGTGTAGTGGGAAAGGGGGAAATCGACGTTGATTGACTCGAAATTAATTGATAGGTGGAAATTTTTTATCGGCCAGTGGGGCGAAATGATAAATACGGCGGGACAAAATTAAATTTATATGTTGTTGAATTGTAAGTTCACATGAAATAGTTTTGCAAGTACGTTTATTAACACATTTTTACCCATAATTGTATTTAACTATAAATAAAAAAAAACACTTTCTTTGTCCCGATAAATTTGTAATTTCATACCACTGTACGATATTTTTTTTTCTTCGTATAAAAGCTTTATCATAATTATTAATTTAAAATTTACCTCCTTTCTAAAAAAATCTAATAATTGATAATTCATTAATAAATATTCAATAATTGCTTTGACTATTTGGTTCAATAAAATGTTTTTTGGTCAATTTTTTTTCCTCTATTTAGTTCGTAAATTTTGTAAATAATATGTTTATTAGTACATCTTGTGGTTAAATTCAGTTCTTTCTACAATAAAATGTTCATATACTAACTGCTAACATCAAATAAATAAAAATAATTTTGTCCTCATTTTTTTTATTTTATACCACTGTCCAATTTTTTTTCTGTAAAATGTGTTCATAATATTTTTTTCTTCGTCTAAAAACATACTGCAATTATTAACATAAAATGACAATACCTCTTTTTTAACCTAATAATTCCTGTAAATTAAATTTTACGTGAATTATTAAATTACATCCATTATTAAATATTCAGTAATTGCTTTTGAATATTTAATAGACCTTCGTGGTGTCCGATAAACCGTTTTTTGTCGATTTTTCCGCCATCTATTTGTCTCGTAATTCAATAATCTGCCGACCACAATTGGCCGCTTTGGCTAAAGCAATTGGCAACGTAAGTTAATTACTGAACCTCATTACAACACCGCTGCGAGCGGTCCGGCTACGTTGCAGCGAGCCAAAACCGTTTATTAACCAGATTACAGATCCAATTCGGCCAAAAATCCATTCGTCCTCTGTCGCACAACAACACACCGAGCGAATAATACCCAAACAAATGCCGCATAATTTAGAGGAAACCCCAAATATTTAAATCAATTGATAAACGCGATTGTTTGGCAACAATGCATACAAATAAACTCGATTTTAACAATTCAGCAAAATCAGAAAGGGAAAATGTTTTCTAGGCTCTCTTCAATAAAATGCCTGTCCTACATACATACTCATTGATTACAACTTGAAATAAAAAAAAACATATTTTGTCCCGATTTTTTTATTGATATTAGACCACTGTCCGATATTTTTTTTCCCTAAATTATGTTCATATGTATGTCTTCGTATAAAAGCATTATTTCTAATTACTAATAAAAAATAGCAATATACCTCTTTTAAATTTAATATTACATGTAAATTGATTTTACGTGAATTATTAAATTACCATCTATTATTAAATATTCAATAATTGCTTTGGAATATTGAATAAATATTAGATAGAATATTAAATAAGTCGTCATTATGTCCGATAAACCGTTTTTGTCGATTTTTCCTCATATATTTGCCTTGTAAATTTTTTAATTATGTTTATTACACAAATAAGTTATTTTATTTCAAAAGTTGTAAATAACTAGAGTTATTGTAGAAGGAATTGAGAACATTTTTACAAAAATTACGAGGTAAATAGATGGGCACAAACCCACAAAAACGGTTTATCTGAACATTTTGCGTATTTTTGAAAAAAATATATAAGGCAGTGGTGTAAAATCAAAAATTTTTCGGGACATAATAATATAGTGTAAAAATAATAATACAGTGTGAAAGAAGGTTACAGTTTCTTGTAGAAGGAGCTGAATTTGAGAAAAAATATACCAATAAACATAAATATACAAAAACTTTCTGCATTTAACTTACAAATACAGTGGTTTGACAACAATAATTGAACGAATCTTTATTTGTTCCAGGTCAGTCCAACCCCGGGACCAACAATGCCACCGTTTCCGTCCTCCATTCCGTCATGAGGCGGCTGCTAGCCGCCCTTCTGGCTCTCCTGGCACTGTTTGGGGCGACGAAGGGCGACAATGGACTGCAAAGAACCCCCCGAAGGCAGTGCCCTTCCGGATCAGCCAGCCCTTGCCACTGCTTCAACTTCGAGAGTGGCGTTTTTTTGGAATGTCCCGCAGCCACCGCACATTCACTACGACTGGCTTTGGACAACGTCGAAGGGACAATACAGTCCCTTTCTGTATACGATCCTGATAAAACTCTGGTAACATTAACTATCTAGAGTAAATTCGGATCAAATAACATAAGAACTTTACAGACCAAGCTCCCAAAAAACTTTTTTCCCGAAACTACAGTGATCAGGCACCTTCAAATCACACAGTCGAACATTCAAGAATTACAGGATGAATCCTTGCTTCCTCTGAAGCCTCACTTGGAGAGTTTTGCCCTGAGTTCGAGCAAATTAAGGGAGATCCCTCAAAAAGCTTTCAAAGGATTCACCAGATTGATTGCTCTGGACTTGGAAGGCAATGAAATCACTGAAGTCCCCAGCTACACGTTCTATGGACTTCAGCTGATGAAATTGAACATCAAAGGAAACCAAATTCGAAAAGCAAGTATCGTTTTTTTTTATTACTAACTATAGTAACTGAATATTTGTTACAGGTTACAGAATATTCTTTTGCCGGCCTGGAAAACACTCTTTCCGAACTGAACATAGCCGAGAACAAGCTTCAACAGTTTCCGATCAAGGCACTAAGACGTCTGGAACAGCTACGCCACCTACGACTGTCCTGGAACGAGATCAGCTCTATTCCCGAAGATTACTCCCATCTAAACTCCCTATTGTACCTGGACCTAAGCTTTAACTCCTTCGAAACCATCAAGGAGAACTCGTTTACAGTGTGTCCATCAGTGAGAACTCTTACGTTGTATTATAATTCTGTGGAAAGTGTTCACGAGGACTCGTTTTCGATGTTACACGATTTAGAATCGTTGGATTTGAGCCATAATCGTATCGTATATTTAGACTCTTTAACATTTCGGAATAATAAAAAAATTCGGTCTATAGATCTAAGTCATAATCACGTTCACTACGTTAACGGACTGTTTTCGCATTTACCTGAGCTCAGAGAACTGTTTTTATCAGAAAATAACATCCTGGAAATCCCTATAGATGCTTTTCGTGAATCACGGAATATTACTGTAATATACCTACAAAATAACGCGATAAGACACGTAGATTCAGAAGCGTTAAGCACACTAATCAACTTAACTCAGCTCCATCTCAGTTCGAACTTCATTCCCCATCTAGCCAGAGACTTATTTTCCGAAAACCGTATTCTAGCTTCTCTAAGTCTGGACGATAACTGGCTTCAGGAGCTGGAACCAGGAACCTTCGATCATACATTATCTCTGAAAGAAATTAGGTTGCATGGAAATAAACTCCAGAGTATTCAACGGGGTGTTTTTGATCCTTTACCTGATCTTCTGGAGTTACATTTACAGAACAACGAGATCAACTCAGTAGATGCCGGAGCTTTCTACTCGCTAAGAAGCTTGCAACACATTAACTTACAAGGAAATTCCATATTACAGTTAGGTGATGTGTTTGCTCATAACTCTTCGTCTTTGGTCTCAGTTCAGTTGGATGCAAACAGAATAAACATACTGCATAATAATTCTTTTAATGGGCAGTCCTCAATCCAGATCCTTTGGTTAGGAAACAATAAACTGCATAGAATCGACACAGCCTTATTTAGAGACTTAACCAGAGTCCAGAGACTCTACCTGGATAACAACAGCATCTCTACCATAGAATATGGTGCTTTCAAATCTGTACAAGTTTTAAAGTTTCTTGATTTAAGCCTAAACGAATTGAAGGAAATTACAACAAAGACTTTTGTAGAATTAATTGAATTAGAAGAACTGAATTTATCAAGAAACCGAATTGGGAAGATTGAGCCTCTTGCATTAACCAATTTGAAGAAGTTACGTGTTCTGGACTTATCCTCAAACCCCATAGGTGTTTTACACGACTCAATTTTTCAGGAACGCTTACCAATTCGGATTCTAAATTTGCTCAATTGCTCAGTGACTCAGATAGAGTCTGGTGCCTTTCGTGGTCTAAATAACTTAAACGAGCTAAATTTGGGAGCGAATAAGCTTCAAGCATCCGCTTTGAAGCATTTGGATGTTCCAGGATTACGAGTATTGCGTTTGACGGATAACAACTTAAAGGAACTGGATGACACTGCCTTGGCTGGGTTACCGTCATTGCAGATCATATCATTTGAGAACTGTAGCTTGGAGAAGTTACCTACCGGTGTTTTTTCGAAGAATAAAAATCTGTTGAGTATTGATCTTAGTTCTAACGGATTGAGTGAACTAAAACACGGGATATTTTTGACTTTGAATGTTCTAAAAGAGTTAAAACTTAACAAGAACTCATTTCGAAGTCTTCCTTACACGGCTTTACTGAACATATCTACAATGGAGTCACTTTCAGTCGCACAAAACCAACTTTCCTTTGTCGAAGCATCCAGATTAAATGGATTACCAAATTTAAAGAACCTAAATTTGAGGAATAATGCTATTTCGTCACTGTCAGGTTTTGCATCGGCTAATCTAACGCAGTTACTGTCAGTGGATTTGAGCAACAACATTTTGTCAACGTTGCCAACCAATTTTTTTCATCATTCCTCGTTACTGCGAAGGATTGATCTGTCAAATAACAGATTTAATAGGATTCCTAACGCTGCACTGTCGGAGAATACTCTGTCTGGATTAGGGTGGTTGAATCTTACTGGAAATCCGTTGACTAGTATCCATGAGGTTACTTCTGGAAGAAATTATCCTTCGTTGGAAGAGGTTAGTATAAGCTAGCCAAGTCTCAAAATTAAACAAATAAAGATACTGTTTTTACACCCTGTAAATTCTCACGAACTGTTTTACTTATTTTTATCTGCAGAATATATTGCAAAAGTTTTCTTATCAACAAAATCATAGATTACTATAAAAAAAAATAGATGATAATATAACCTTTCTAATCTAGTGACACATCAATACACTCCATACATCTTTCAGGTCCATATCAGGTTTACCAACCTCAGCATTCTCACCAGCAACGAGTTTGACAGCTTCACAGCATTGCTGCATCTCTATCTAAGCAACAACCACATCACCAGGATATCTCCAGGTGCTTTTTCCAGTCTACCACAGTTGTTTACACTGGATTTGGGCTACAACGAAATAGAAATTTTACCCCAAGAAAGATTGCAGGGCCTGGACCAATTGAGATTGCTTAATTTAACACATAATCGCCTAAAAGACTTAGATATGTTTCCAGATAATATGAAAACTTTACAGTCTCTGGATATTTCCTATAACCAGTTGGTGAAGTATGTTTGTATTTTGTATTTTTTTAGGGATTTTTTTTAATTTCTTCTGTTGTTTTAGGATAAAGAAATTGACTTTTGACCATCTGGAAGGACTGGAAGAGTTGCATTTGCAGGGTAACTGGATAGCTTCGGTGACCAGTGATGCTTTCAGGCCTTTGAAGAAGTTGCATTTGCTCGATATGAGCAAAAACTACTTGGAGGTGATTCCTCTTAATGCTTTGAAGCCTTTGGAGACACAGATTAGGAGTTTGAAAGCCGAAGGTAAGTTAAATGTTGTCTTAATTTGTATAATAACTGATATAAAATACCGTATGATCGAAAAAACGGCATCAAAGATGGCTGGAAAATGATGTGATGAAGATAAAAATAATAATGTTAGGAAAATACAAAATAAGTTAAGGAAGAATAAAATTATATTAATAAAAAAATTTTCTAGCGTATTTTGGAGATTTATATGTAGAAAACTCTCCATAAAAAATAATGGGTGCGCCTATGGACTTTGGCGTGGGCTAACAAATTGGCAAACTGTCAAAAACTTAATTTGCTTTTCGGACTAACGGCTTTTCAGAATGTTTTTGTTGATTAATAGCCGAAAGATGAATTGGTTGAATATTTTCTAGGCCTAAAAATAGAACTCTAAATTTAAATAATCTAAACTTTAGAAAAATCCAAATATCGGTACTTTTAAAGGCCTAATTTCTGCTAAAATAAATCTTAAAAAAATAATCTAATAATTTTTTATTTTTTTTATTTTAATTTGTTTTTTATTTAATTTTTTTTATTTCAATTTTTATATTTGTTTATGACAATACAATAAAATTCAAGCTTTTAATTGTTCTTTAAATACCTACTGGCTTAAACTATTTGTTGAAACAAATATTTTTTTTTTATTTTTTGATATTTATTGTTAAGAAATAATGACAGAATATGTCATATTTTATTGCCATAATCTTGATTTGATATTTAAACTTAAACTTGATGTTTCTTCTCTTTTTAATAAAATTTTTATAGATATAATTAAGCCACTATCAATGTACAGGGTGAGTCTGAAACAAGTACACATATTTACACAGGGCTAGTAGCTGAAAAAAAACGAACCGAATTAGTATTCAAAAATTAAAATATGCCAAATTGTAAAATGTTCAAGAATCCAATTTCCTATAAGCCTAAAAATTGAGTCGTCTCGATTTAACCATTTTATTTAAACAAAATTTATAGGTTTTGAACAGGACCAGATAAAATACGGGTTTCTTATTCTTAATCGAAAAAAAATGGAGATTTTCTTTAACGATATCTTTATTTAAAAAAGGTCTTTGGATATAGCGAAAAGTGGGATTATTTGGGTTTATCCAATAATCAATTAACTTGTCTCAATAACATCGTTTTTACTCAAAGGTTCTGATAAGTAACATTCAAATTAAAGCAAATCTTTAAGTACCTCTTATTAGAGGACATTTTAGAAAAGAAATACGCTTTAAAATTTATCACTTTTTGTAAATATTCTTATTTTAAAAACTACTTACAGTTTATAAGAATAACATTATTTTAAAAATACTCACTGAACGGAACACCCTGTAGAATAAATTATATTTAAACTGGTTAGGCATCTGATTAATACAAATTACTACCTATTACAGTGAGAAACCTGTATGGTGATTCTTTCTATATCATTGACTTGAGAATAAACAACTTTACACTGGCCAGCCATTACAAAAATTAATCAAAACTACATAGTATTCCTTTTAATCAAAACTGTATGGTTATAGAAAAATATTTAAATTAATTATTATTTATATTTTTGTATTGTTCTGTCTTAATTTAGTATAGAATTTTTTTTTCTTATACAAACCTGTATAATTTTTAATTTTAAAGGTTTGTCCATAAAAGTAATATGTTAACCCACTTTAATTTCTACTGTAACAAACAGGGAAAATCTTATTATTCAGTATAAAGCTATAAATACAATCAGATAGTAGTTTTATTCTTTACTCATAACATATGAACTGTTGTTGAAAATGTGGTTTATTTTTAATATTATATGTCTTTTATTACTAAAAACCGTGATTTCTTCAAAATGTGAGGCTCCAAACAAGCTGACAGTCTATGCCAACGATGACAGGAACAGACTATTCGTCGAATGCGTTGACAGTTCCGTGCAAGACTCCCTTTTTAATGGATACCAGATAGAAAAAATTGTCTTGGACCATAACAGTGAGCAAACACTCAAAAAAGAAACGGTCAAAAACATGAAGCATCTTCAAAGTATTTCATATTATTCGTCACAAGGTCGAGACCTTGAAAGTAAAGCTTTTGAAAACTTGCCCAGTCTTCAAGCTATATGTCTGGTAATGGAGAATCTTGAGAAAATACCTAAAGATGTATTCAGTAAAATTCCTTCATTACAAAGAATAATTTTACAAGCAAACCAGATCAGTATAATTGAAAAAGATGCGTTTTCTGAGCTACCTAACCTCGAAGAAGTTGATGTGAGTAGTAACAAACTAAAAAGCTTCAAGCCTGAATGGTTCAGTAACACTGTTAACATACAAGTGTTGGATTTTCAAGAGAATGAGATTACTTCCATACCACCCAAAGCTTTTGCTGGATTCAGGCAACTTCGAGAGGTATACCTTAACTCTAACAAGATTTCTATTATTGGTGAAGGTGCATTTGAAGGTATCGAACATCTGGATCACCTAGGACTGGAAAGGAATCATTTAACCCAAATCCAGGACAATATTTTTCCAAACAACATTGCAATCGACACGTTGGGAATTGCAGCAAACTATTTGAATTTTCTGTCAAGTAAACTCAGAAAGAAAGTTCAGGTTTCTGAGATCATTATGCATGGTAACCCCTGGAAATGCGCTTGTTTTGATGAAATCAAACTTTGGCTGGAAAAAAGTAATGCCGTGGCAAATAATATGGATTGCAGTAGATCTGATGTGCCTGTATGTGCGGTTTCTGTGATAACATCACCGATTTGTGAGGAAAAAGTCGATAGTGATGTGAACAAAGTGTTTTTTGAGGCTCTTAGTAAAGTTCAACCACGGTTCAATAGAGAATGTGCTCAGTTTTAATTGAAAATATAATTTAGTCTTAAATATACAGGGTTGAGTCTTAAATAAGTACAAATATTTCTAGGGGGTGGTTTATTTCGAATCCAGGTTTACAAGTCTATGAAGTCGCAAAAAAAAAGATGTTGAAAACCGTACATTTTCTTTCAAATTTTCCTGTATATTTTAGAAAACTTTTGAGAACTGCCTGTTCAGCAGTTTTATACAGGAATGGACAAAAAGTTATTAATCTTCAAAAAATATGTATGTAGGTGGTGCCCTCTAAAGGTAGGAGCCATATTGACATCAAAATCAAATTTCTCATATTAAAAAACTCCCAGACACCAAATTTCGTCCAAATATTGACGTTACTTCAGAAATGATTTGGAAAAATTCGAAATAAAAATGAAACTTCTACACCCTGTATCTAAGAAACCAAGCATTATAGGACATATATTTATTAGAACTATTTTACTTATTTTTATCTGCAGAATATGCTGCCGAAGTTTCCGGAATACAGTTCGAACCACCCTGTATACACATAAAATTACTACATGTTTTGTTTGCTTCTTGTATTGCGATCATTTCTTAAAAATAAACATATATAAATTTAAAAAAATGTTTAATTTCAATAAAATATTGACATATACCTAAAAAAAATCTAAATTTTTGCACCTCCTGTGGTTACAACAATAAAATACTATGCAAAATCAAAATAAAGTATTCTTGCCTAAATTTTTTCATCTATTTTTCCTGTCATTCTTTCCAGAAAATCCCCTGTCTTGCAGCTGTGATTCCCAGGAACTCTGGGAATGGTTGAGGGACCACCAAAAATCCACCCAAACCCAACTAAAATGCGAACAACCCGCTGAACTCCGTGGCAAAATATTTCTGGACCTCGATCCAGAACAATTTTGCGACCAACCAATGGTCGTCAAGCTGGGCATCCAGGATATCCAGCCTTTTTCCGTGTTGGTATCGTGGCAGAGCAGGAACCATTCCGGATTACACGGATACCAGGTGGCGTATTATTCAATGGATGCTATGGACGAGGTAGGAATATTTATTTTTTATTTGTGTAATTTTATGTAAAGTTATAGGCTCTATAAATATTTTTTTTTTGAAAATTGTTTCTTGGGATTATGGTCTGTAATAAAATGTTTTTTTAAAGTCAAACACATTATCACAGTCAACGTTTCGTTCTTTATTCGATCTTTATCAAAACCGTTTTATTATAACCATGGCCGTCACAAAAACAAAATTATAAATTTACATTTTAACACAGTAAAGCCGGCCGTACATTGAGACACAGGTGACGCAGGCGATGCAGGGCAGGGCAGGTTAGAATAGTTCAGGAAAAATACGTGCTACGCAGTGTGAGAGCATATTGGGAAGCAGTCTTGGGCAGTTTACAGTACGTCTGTTCGTTCTGTAGCTACGGAGTATCCGTGAGAGGGGAAACGATATTCTCTCGATGTTTTTCGTAAAAAATTAGACGACGCGTCCCATCAATAAAAATTCGACAAATTTGCAAGTAGCTAATAAAATGAGTGGGCGGGGCGATTTGCGGTGACGTACTCGTCAAGTCGACGTATAACATATATTGCTGTTTATTTAAATGTTTTTTGTCCGCATTCCTTTCATAGACACAGATCCAGCAGATGGACTGTATATAGAATTTTGGCGCGCGAGGTGCTAGTATATTTAATATTATTATTATTATTTGGCCATAGACCATTTTGATCATGGCGTTGTTTTCAAACAGTTCCGAGTTAGAGTCGGACGCAGAATTTGAAGAATCAGTTCTATATATTATACTTATTAATTTTGCCTTTAAATAATTGGGATCCTTGGTATCGTAAAGAATTGTATGCCTCCTCACCAATTCAATTAATTGTTCATCCATTTCGAAAATTTCCACAACAAAAAAGTATGGCTAACCAAAATCTGTGCCAAGGAGACTGCTCTATGCAGGTTTACGCAAACACATTTCTGTGCTACCCTACTCTGCGTTCCAATTCGCGCGGGTCTATGCGTTTGCACCGAATACAGAAACCTGCACTGCTCTGCCCTGCGTCGCCTGTGTCACCTGCGTCTCAATGTGCGGCCGGCTTAATAGTCACATTACTACATCTATTTAATATCAAACAAACATATAGAACCTATGTCTGTTTGATAAAAAACACATTGAGAAAAACGAATTTAAAGTTCTTTCTTGAAGTTATTTACTAATTACTCAGTTACTATAAAAAACCATGTCTTCTTCTTCAGTTTTTGATTCTAGAAATAGTTATTTTTTTTATACAAAACAATAAAATGGTATTTTATCGTCGACCGAAAAGATTAATTTCGGGAGACGATAATGCAATTTTATCGTCGTGTATAAAACAATATTTTTAGTTACGTTTTAAAAAATATTCAGAAATTATTATTTCAAGGAGTTTATTACGAGTAGAAAAAATATTGTGCTGGGTTGGCGTTGGTTTCTATGTAATTTGACAAATAAATAAAGCTGTCTCTTTAGTTGTCAGTTTTGAGTCAATATTTTTTAATTCTCTTTCGTGTCGATTTTGCTGATTGAATTGGAGCCAGAAATGGCTCAAAACGAAATCAGTAAATTACCAACAGATTTTCAGGCTGAGGTGACAAACGCCATATCCAAACTACTTCCATTTAAATCCCGAATAACTTATGAAAAGGAATACAAAAATTTTCAAAAATGGAAGCACTAAAATTAAAAAACGTGCGAGAAGAAATAAAATTTTTAACCTATCCTCGCTGTTAAGTACTATTTCATCTACTATTTTTGATATTTTTGATAGATATAAGGCAATTTTACCAGTTACTATGGAAAAAAAGTTTATTATTTTTTTTCGATCAAAATTAATCGTTTGAAATAGTAGGGCAACGTTTCAGGATTTGGGGGACCTTTCAAATCCTAACAAATACACTCAATTTCTGGAGATTATCTATCCCTACATCCCCTAAAAGGCTTTTCTTTTCAGGGAAAAAGAAAAATCGTCCCGATCACAGAATATTTTATATCTAAATCAGTCACACTCCGACATAGTAACAAAAAAAAAATCGATAACTTTTTAGAACCTTTATTTTATCTTTTTGTACGAACACTCTACTTGAAAGTGTAACACCCCCGTTAAACAAACAAAAAGACTAAAAATCTTCATAAAAACAACCTCCAATTTTATTTTTTTCCTGTTTATTTTGTACATCACGTCCGACTCAATGTTTTTTCTCTGTTAACAGATATTTTTTTTGTCAACATTATTATTCCAAGCTGTTTTAAAAACGAACCGCTCCAGACAGGCATAAATTTAGAGTAGGGTGTTCGAAAAAAAAGACATTATTATGTTGAAAACGACATTCGCCACACGCAACATGTTAGTATAACATTACATGCGATATCGAGCGTTCTGTTGTGTATAAATAAAAAACTATAACAGCTGTTGTAGACTTGGGAGTAGGGAGTAGTCTGGGAATAGGTTCATAAATAATAAAAAATTCAGTTTTATTTTTGACCCCTTTTTATTTTTTGTTTTCTAAGCCCCGCACTGAAAAAATTAATTTGTGAATTAATAATAATATTGAGGGTTATTTTTTGTCACAGATTATTGTAGTATATTTATCATCCGTTCTTTATTTTTACAATTCGTTTGTAAAATCGCTGAATGACTAATTTGTGCCATGTATATATGAATATGTTTAATACACGCACCGGAAAAGTCTAGGGATATTACAATTTGATCCAGCCATCGTCAGTAATTTTATTATTTGCCATTTCTGATATAATAAAATTAATGAAATTTACCGAATTTTTCAAATTTACCTTGATTTTTATTGAACTCAAAAAAATACACACATTTTTTTTATTCTAAACTGTGAATTAAAAAAAAAGATAAAACCATTTTTACTTAATAAAGGGTATAGCCTCCTCTACTGTTCATTACAGCCCTACATCGTCTCTCCATGCTCCTGATCAGGTTGTCGATCTCTTCTTGGGGTACAGCCTGCCACGCTGCATTCACGGCCCGAACCAGATCTCTACGAGTTTCACGAGGCATACCCATTCTCAAAAATCTTCTTTGGACCGCGTCCCATACGTGCTCGATGGGGTTGAGGTCAGGAGATTGTGCCGGCCAGGGTAAGATGTTTAATTGATGAGCATTGATAAACTCACTTACCACTCTGGCTGTATGAGGCCGTGCATTGTCATGCATGAGAATAAAGTTTCTCCCAAAATCATTGGCATATGGTAACATGAAGGCTCAAGAATTAAATCACGATATGTGATTCCTGTTAGAAACCTTTCAAGAAAAACGAGATCGGGTTTTCGGCCTAACTGGACTCCTCCCCAGACCATAACTGTTCCACCTTGATAAGGGTGCACTTCCTGAACATGATCCAACCGAATAAGATTTCCTGGTTCTCTCCATACCCTAAGCCTTCTCGAATCCGGATGAATTCCAAAGCGTGACTCATCCGTGAAGAGAACATTAGCCCATTGTTCATTCGACCACTGAACATGATCTTGAGCCCATAAATATCGTACCTCTCGATTTCCTCTCGTTAAGGGTCGAGCTCTCCAGGGGCGTCTGCTTCTTAAGTTGACCTCTCTTAATCTATTGCGAACAGTGTCAGGACTAACGGTTACATTATGTGTTTCCTGGAGAATTAAACTAAGCTCTAATGCTGTAAGAGCCGGTCGGAGTCGAGCATTTAATTGTAAAAAATGATCTTGCTGAGGGGTAGTAATGCGATGTCGCCCTATGTGCCTTTCAGCAACATCACCACTTTCACGGTAGCGTGCACTTAATCGCGATATTACACTTTGCGTTGTATTTAATGCTCTAGTTACGTCGATTTAGCGCATTCCAGCTTCGAGCATACCCATGGCCCTTAGAATTTCGTCTCTGTTAAGATGTCTACGCTCCATAATGTCGTTTAATACTAAACAGAGTTATTTGAATGAATTCTGGCCAGTTATCATAAAAACATAGCCAGTAGAGGTTAAACTGGAACAATTGATGCTAGGTGCTTTTTATACATTTGACAAAAAATGCACAAACACTTCTGCAAATATCCCAAATTTAGAAATAACTAGTGTGACTACTTCGTTTCAATCGAAGTAGAAAGAATCGGCCTACAAATATGTGGTTGTTTATTCAAAACATTTATTTTTAACTTTAATAAAACGATATCCCTAGATTTTTCCGGTGTGTGTATATCTTTATATTCACCAATATTCTTTGTAAATTTATTTAAAAAATGTGTATCTCACAGTAAATTTTCTTATCCTTTGTAAATTTATCTTTAAAATAGCCAACTTCTTGTACTATTACTATACAGTGTGAGTTTCTTACGATGTTCTCTATGGGTATTTCTTAAACTACTGGAGATAGAGAGTCGGTTAAATGCGGAAAGAATTGTAGTTTTATGGGGTCATAAATATGCGCCTTTCAGATTTTTGAAAAAGTTCATGGCTTACTAGATATTTCGAAAAAAACAAATTTCGGCTATTTCAAAAATTGTCCCTAATTCCATTATAATCTATTTTAAACAAAAAGTTTTCAGATAAAAGTTGTAGATAATCACATCTTTAATGAGATCGTGCCCTCCCTTTTTTCCTAAAGCCTGTCATTTTTGACATATGACACAAACATAATTATTTTTAAATGGAAACCATAGTTGGTTATGACTTATAAAAAGCGCCATTTTTTAAGCTTTTCAGCGATATAAGCTACAATATGTTTCTTTCGAAAAGTTACTGAGTTATAGCCGAATTCTTATCATTTTTAAACAATTTCACTTAGCCATGGGAACAAGTTCATTCGTCGTTGCTCTCAGTAATGTGAAACTGTCACATCCAAACTTTGTATATCAGTGGATATTAATGGACAAACACACGGTATGCAATATATTATTTGTCTGTTCCAGATCAGAGGAAAGTTGCTAGACCGCTCTGCCAGGTCACTGAAGCTATCCAGGCTCTACCCTGGAACGAGATACCTAATCTGCGTGTTGGCATTGGGTAACTGGGCAGTTACCCAACGCAGGGCAACAGCTGAATCGAGACTGGCTGCCAGGAAACCTGTGGAAAACGACACCTTTTCCAGAATGGATGGTTTGGAAACCTTCAACGAAGGAATGCTGCCATATTTGGTGGATTCCTCAACTAGTAAATGTGCAGAGGTAATGTTATATGATAACAGATTTAATGAACAAAACTAGCTTCTTAATAATCTATTTTTCTTATTGGAAAAATAGATTATTCTAAATCTGCCAGAACAGTTTTTTTGAGTTTTAAAAGAATTTAAAAGGAAAAAAAATAAAAGAAAATCTTGTTTACTTGTCCTGGATAAAGACTAAGTTTTAAAATGCGAGGTACGATTGATTGGGGGAAAACATCTGCTGTTCTAGTTGAATGAAAGGGGGGACGGGTGTTTGAAGATGGGGACAAACTGGGCGGGAAAGGACAGGGACTGTCCTGTTTACCAATAGGACGGGTTCGCTCGATTTAACGAAGCAGTGTTTCATTTGAGGGACGTGATTGAGTTTTCTAGCGAAGACACGTGCCCTGTATTTCCTTTTATACAGGGTGAGTCAAGGATACAGTTAAAAAGAAACCTACACTATAAAGTTTCATTCACAACCTCGAAATTATTGAAATAAATTACTGGTTTCAATTAGCATACAAGTTTGTACCTCTGATTTCAATGAAAGCTTGTAAATTATTCTTGAAAGTTTGCGAGTAATATCATTTTGACATTTGACTGTCATCCGTCAAGATAAATTGTCGTTAGAAATCGAAAAGTTTATTGTTGTAAAAGCTAATTATTAGGCTTTCTCTAAGGATACAACTGACTACCGCAAGCTGGTGCTAGGATGTTCTATTAATTTTAATTGTATTGTTTTAGACATGGGGAATGATCGTAAACTCTCAAGTATAAAGTATAACGAATGAAGCTTTAACATGTCCAAAACAGAGTTTTAAACATGTTTTAGTATAGTCAGTTTTAAACAAAAAGTAATGATGTTTTGAACACGTTTAAAAAATTAACTTTTAAACAAAATATTTAAAACAAAGCAACCCTGGAATAGTAAAAAACAAACAATTAATTAGTTTCAAGTATACAGGATGTTTAAAAAAAATCATGTTTTTTATGGAAAGGACTGTTTATTCAAATGTTGTATCCTATCTATGTTTCTCTCTACAATTTCCTGTCTCACAATGTAGTTTCATAGTTGTCGATTTTCGAAAGAAATCAGAACATGTATATTATTTCGTATATTCTTCATTTTATTGATTTTATGGAAAGCACTGTTCATTAAAATGTTGTATCCTATGTTATAGGGCTTGTTTCTCTCTACAATTTCCTGTCTCACAATGTACCGTTTGTGTCCAGGAAGGGTTCATAGAGTCATAGTTGCCGATTTTCGAAAGAAGTCACTACCTGTATATTATTTCCTATATTTTTCATTTTATTGATTTTATGGAAAGCACTGTTCATTAAAATGTTGCATCCTATGTTATAGGGCTTGTTTCTCTCTACAATTTCCTGTCTCACAATGTTCCGTTTGTGTCCAGGAAGGGTTTATAGTTTCTTAGGTATCGATTTTCGAAAGAAATCAGTACCTGTATATTATTTCCTATATTTTTCATTTTATTGATTTTATGGAAAGCACTGTTCATTAAAATGTTGTATCCTATATTATAGGGCTTGTTTCTCTTTACAATTTCCTGTCTCACAATGTACCGTTTATGTCCAGGAAGGGTTCATAGTTTCATAGTTGTCGATTTTTGAAAGAAATCAGAGCATGTATATTATTTCGTATATTATTCATTTTATTGATTTTATGGAAAGCACTGTTCATTAAAATGTTGTATCCTACGTTATAGGGCTTGTTTCTCTTTACAGTTTCCTGTCTCACAATGTACCGTTTGTGTCCAGGAAGGGTTCATAGTTTCATAGTTGTCGATTTTCGAAAGAAATTAGTACTTATATATTATTTCCTATATTTTTCATTTTATTGATTTTATGGAAAGCACTGTTCATTAAAATGTTGTATCCTATGTTATAGGGCTTGTTTCTCTCTACAATTTCCTGTCTCATAATGTACCGTTTGTGTCCAGGAAGGGTTCATAGTTGTCGATTTTCGAAAGAAATCAGTACATGTATATTATTACATATATTTTTCATTTTATTGATTTTATGGAAAGCACTGTTCATTAAAATGTTGTATCCTATGTTATAGGGCTTGTTTCTTTCTACAATTTCCTGTCTCACAATGTACCGTTTGTGTCCAGGAAGGATTTATAGTTTCATCGTTATCGATTTTCGAAAGAAATCAGTACATGTATATTATTACATATATTTTTCATTTTATTGATTTTATGGAAAGCACTGTTCATTAAAATGTTGTATCCTATGTTATAGGGCTTGTTTCTCTCTACAATTTCCTGTCTCACAATGTACCGTTTTTGTCCAGGAAGGGTTCATAGTTTCATAGTTGTCGATTTTCGAAAGTGGTGGAAATTTTCGAAAACATGGTGGAAATATCATGTTTTTTTTTCTATAAATATAACACTCTACTTTTGGTAAATAAACAAAGGGCTTTTTTTAAACTTTGTTTGCACCAATATGTTAGATTAAAATAAATCAATTTACATTGTTCATTTGTCTTTACATGCTTTTCTATGCCGTTAATCTTATTGTGTTTAATTTTCTTCAATAGTTTTACATATACATATATTGACTTCAAACTAATTTAATTTTTTGGTTTATATTTTTACAGGTGAGCACTCTGGGCGCTCCTGACTTGACGATCATCACCGATCACTCCATGGGCGTACAGTCGATTTTAACTCGTAGACTAGGACTCATTATCGGATGCTGTATGGGATTTATCGTATTCGTAATCCTAGTCTCCATCTTGGGATACTTAAAGGTAATTTAACACAATAATAATAACTTTTACTTTTTATAAATTAATACCGTATGATCGAAAAAAAAATGGCGTCAAAGACGGCTGGAAAATGATGATTTTTTAATTACTAACATTTAAAAAAAAATTTCGAAAAGATTCGATGTACAGAGGATAAAAAAAATATACTGAGTTGATAAAACCGATATATACCTACTTAATACAACCTTTTATAAGAAAATGTATTTTTATTACAGATGAAAAAACAGAGGCGTGCTGTTAAAAGGGACCAACCAGCTGCCCCACCCGAATACATGTCCTACAGGCATTTCTCCATTCAAAGTGGGGAAATGGCGGAAAGGTCCGGTCATCCCCATTTCATCACCAGCATGACCAACACCATGCCGGTCAACTAAACTAAGAAAAGTGACAAATTTGACATTATTTGCAGAATTTATAATGTTTTGTGTTCCTTGTTTGCCTTGTTAAGTTGTCTGAGTAAGTTCGAAATTTATTTATTATTTTTTTTGTTATTTATTTTTTTTTTGAAACTGGTATTTTTATTTATGTACAGGGTGGGTCTTAAAATAAGTGAAAATATTTTCAGGGTTGGTAGATCTCGATAAAAGAAGAGAAGGTTTTCTTTCTTTTTAATTTAATCTACTACCTATGTTGCCATATTTTCAAGATAGATATTGTAGTGGTTTTTAACTAAAAATTAAAAAAAGTTTTTTTTTTGCCAAAATCGAAAAAATCCAAACCTCATAGACGTGTTTCGGGGGTTGAAATAAAATACTCCTAAAAATATTTGCACTTATTTAAGACTCGCCCTGTATATTACTATTTAAAATTGATTTATTAACTGCTTAAAGACGAAAAACTGAGTTGAAAGTTTGAGCTCATGAGCATAGATTGGCAACGATTTGTTTGTGGTTTTATTTAAATCTTAGTCAGCTAATCAAATACGAATTATATCTGACCTATGGCAACGGTCACATGATTTTGTCAGTGAGTTTACTGAACTATACAGTGTGTCCCATTTTGTTGAGATTCTACGGTAGCCCCGTTATTAGTGGAGATAGAAAGATGTAGTTCAAACTAACCTGTCCCACTTTTTTGTCAAAAAGAAAGATACTGCAAACAAAATTTTCATAGCCCTCTTTGTTTCTGAACTACAGGGTCGTTTTGAAAATTTTACAATTTGGGACATCCCCTATATCTCTGTTATTGCTAAAGGTATCGAAAATGTGAAAACAGTTTATTATAGAACTTTTCAGTTATTCTACGAAAAAAATATTTTTAAAGACATGAACTAAAGTTATGTTTTCTTAAATGGAACACCCTGTATATTTATAAATTAAATCATCTGGCATGCCATAAGCTTCTCAAAAATATCACTCTATATTTATTTTCACTGTTTTACTGCATATATTTAAAAGTTTTTATTAAAAGATCATATTTATTAGTAGGCCATGATTGATAATAAAAGAAACTAAAGAATTATTAAAAGTATACTACTATCTGTCTCTTGTTTTATTTTGGGAGCCACTAATAAATTCTTATATACCGGGTGTTTCAAAACAAATGCGAAGAACTTCAGGTGGTGATTCCTTGTTCAAAATAAAGGGTAGTTTGTAAGTAGTCAACCATTAGGGAGATATCGCGGTACAAAGATGGCGGAAAAATAATGTTTTTATTTTTTATCTTGAAAACGAAAAGAGATAGACTAATAAAATTTTATGGAAGCATTACTGTTATGAAAACACACTTTCTGGTAATTTTTTCACTTTTTTAAAATGAGTGGAAGGGTTTGAAATAAACTACCCCTATCATTCTTGTTAACGAAATTTAAAGAAAAATCTTATCAAACACATGCAAAAAAATTAATTTGGATAGTTTAGTTTGTTTAGAAACTTTTTTATCTCTTGTATTTTTTTGCTAAAACTCACCGATTTGAAATTAAAAAATAAAATGTAAAGCATTACATACCAGGACAAAAAACATTTTCTGATAAAGAATCTAGTGGGCTGCTGTAATTTTTTTAGGAAAAAATCTAGTCGGCCGCTGTTACTTTTTAGGATGCTCCTTATATTATTTTATGTGACATTACTCTACTGCAATACGTTATTATCTAGATAATTATTATTATCGTTATTATCACTAGATTCTTAATCTAAAAATGTTTTTTGTCCTGACATGTAATGCTTTACATTTTATTTTTTAATTTCAAATCGGTGAGTTTTATCAAAAAAACACAAGAGATAAAAAAGTTTCTAAACAAACTAAATTATCCAAATTAATTTTTTTGCGTGTGTTTGATAAGATTTTTCTTTAAATTTCGTTAACAAGAATGATAGGGGTAGTTTATTTCAACCCCTTCCACTCGTTTTAAAAAAGTGAAAAAATTACCAGAAAGTGTGTTTTCATAACAGTAATGCTTCCATAAAATTTCATTAGTCTATTTCTTTTTGTTTTCAAGATCAAAAATAAAAACATTATTTTTCCGCCATTTTTGTACCGCGATATCTCCCTAATGGTTGACTTTTGACCGAACGTTTATAAAGCAAACTACCCTTTATTTTGAACAAGAAATCATCCCCTAAGGTTTTTCGCATTTGTTTTGAAACACCCTGTATAAATACTCTATATACTGTATATCTTTATTTATCACGGCCTACCAATAAGAAAATGATATATTTTAAAAAGACCCTGCAGCTCAGAAACGAAGAGGTATATAAAAAAAGTGTGACTGGTTTGTGCAAACAGCATACTTCTATTCACTAATACCGGAGATACCGCGTATAATTTCAATCAAAATGAGACACCAACGTTTTGTTGACGCAAAACGTGCGATAAGTCGTGACGTGTGTACCGTCCTTTACGCGAAATTCGCACTGCACATCTTTATTTTACACTCTAAATAAAACCACAAGACAAGACTATTTAGCGTTTGTGTCAATTAAACAGGCCCTAATCCCGTTTTAAAGCGTTACAAACGTAATGAAAGGCGGCGTGCTGCGCTCGGGTGTCGTTAAGGGCCTATTTACAAGGGCCGCCGCGCGTTTTATTGCGTTACGGCGTTGTTGCTGCGAGATTAGGAACGCGGGCATCCGAGAAAAATGCAGTTTATATGAAAATTGCTGGCGACAAACGGAATTGCCGAGCGAGGGAAACAGGAAAAATGCGAATTTTCCGGGAGGAAAAAGTTTACGTCTCGTCGAGGTATACGGCCAGGAATAAATGGGGTTTCGTGTAAAAATAATCTCGTAATAACACGATTTCGGGCGTTCGTTTAAAATTAATAAGATCGTTAATAAATATAAAGGGATTTTTCTTCTTTAAGTGTCATATTCCTAGTGAACGTTGACAACTGCCATGTTATAGTCTGTGAAACGAATAACTTTGAATTTGACAGTTCCCGCGGGCTTTCCTAGTGTTAATTTTATTAGGTTAGCACTTTGAATAAGAAGACTAAAGAAGGAGCATATCAAAAATCTTAGGTACACCGCGATGGGCCTCAAATATGGCCGACTTAAATTCCGCTTTATCAGTGTCGTTCTAATTTATTTAAAAAATGTAAAACTATGATGTAGGGTAGACGTGGGGTAGACTCAATAATTTGTTGTTTTATTTTACGTTGTGAATAAATGTTGGTAGTTATTAAAATTGTTATAAAAATATATAATTCTAATAAAAATAGATAAGTTATAATAAGTATTTATTAACACAAACATCCGATACGCAACTGAAGCAGGTAAGTCAAATTAACGTATCTAAATTTTTTGACATCTAATCTTTGACAAGTAATAAATAAAAGCTAAAATGCAAGAAAAATATATAATTTAGTTAATTTAAGTGAATTTCATAAATGATCGGTTTACTACACGTATGTATATTATATAGTCACTTACTAGCGAAAAGTTGTTCCATTATTTCACTCGATTTTTGCCGAGATCTACCGCACGCTACACAACCAACTATTTTAGAGTCTTTTTCGATAAATCGTGATAGTATCACTGTTAATTTAAGTTCTGCCACAATTTCCATCTAGATTTACTACCTTTATACAACTATCAGTAGTAGAATAAATAATAAATAACATAAAATAAGCTCCGTAAAGACTGACAAATCCACAAAATTTCAAATCAAATTCAAATGTGTCAAATGAATCGTTAAACAGAACTGTCAAGGATCCCCACCCTAGAGTGCTTTTTCCGCCCACCATGCATGAATACATGGATAGCATTATGCTCCTTCCTTAGTCTTCTTATTCAAAGTTTCCGATGAAACAAGAAGCGACTAAAAACAATTGAATACGTCAATCAATCCTAATTTATGTCATATACTAACATACCTAATCTCGTTTTTTTTAGGGGTGAGCCACTTTTGAGACGCACCCGGTATTATTGTTTTCGAAAGACGTGGAAAATTTCGAAAAAAATGTCAATCATAACATCATATATTATGAAAAAAAAATTAGTTCAAATTTAACGAAACAATCAACAGTTTTTCTTGTATTTTTTGCAGTATCACGATAATATACTATGAATGATACACTATTTTTTTCTACACCCTGTATATTATCTGGATATTAAATTAAATTAATTTTAACACACAAACATTAACTTAAAATTTCATTTTCCAGACATAATATTATCACACGACTCCTCTAAAATAATATCATAAATTTCAAAATTACTTGGAATTTGCTCAAACGTTATTTAACAGCATACAAAAACATTTTTCTTCGCCATAAGAATACTTTCGCCCAGTAACGAACTTATTACATCATTCCCTTACCAACTCTGCCTAATTTATCATATTAAAATATTGCTCTTGTAATACAACCCGCTAAAGGGAATTAACTTTCACTCGTTCAACACCCCAAGCAGCCCTCCTTGTCTGTCTTAAGTGTTGTTCCAGGCCCTTTTTAATTAGTTTACATAATCAGGGCTCATATGCCCTTCCTTAAGGGAGAGGAAGGGTTACATGGCAGAGCGAGCTACCACCGCAAAGGGTTAAGGGAGGATCTGTGTACTTGAGAGGAAGTTCTCATCCCTTACGATGATTGTTTTCGAGAAATAAGAAAGAGATAATTGTAGGAAAATCATTAAGAATTGACAGGGTGAATCTTAAATAAGTACAAATATTTTCAGGGCTGGTAGATCTCGATAAATACTTATTTTTTAATCACGTAAAATGGTATCTTACGATAATGCAATTTTATCGTCGTGTATAAAACAATATTTTTTTTCCATCGCGAGTTACCTTTTAAAAAATATTCAGAAATTATTATTTCAAGGAATTTATTACGAGTAGAAAAAATATTGTGCTGGGTTGGCGTTGGTTTCTATGTAATTTGACAAATAAATAAAGCTGTCTCTTTAGTTGTCAGTTTTGAGTCAATATTTTTTAATTCTCTTTCGTGTCGATTGCTGATTGAATTGGAGCCAGAAATGGCTCAAAACGAAATAAGTAAATTACCAACAGATATTCAG